TTCGCTCGCAACGTCAGGCGGCGACGAAGGTGGCGGAGGGACATTTCTTGCCCAATGAACTCGAAATGTCTGAGAGGGAATGGCAGCGCCAGCAGCAGCACAGCCTCCGCCCGTGGTGTTGGGTTGCCGCGGAAGGGCTTTAGGCCAAACATGCCGCGGAGAGGCACTTGGCCATGCTGAAAACGGTTTTTGCCGAATCTCACACCATCGCTCAAACCTTTCCATCTCAGTGGCGAGCCACGTCTGGAACCCTGCGTCTCCGGCTTTGTTTGGACGACCGTCTCTCCGTAGCATGCGATACTTGTTCCTCACAGTGTCCACGTCCATCCATTTAGCACTGTCAGGATCGAGCCGCAATTTGTTCAAAAAAACACCGAAATCCGCCATCGAGCAACTGAGCTTTCGCAAGACAGCGTCGACTCAGCGATTCCCCGGGAAACTATGAACGTCGACGGAGCCAAAAGCTTCGTTGAACAACCACCATGTCGCATGAGGCAAGTTTCAAACTGAGAACAGGGCTCGTGCACCAAAGCATACATGGACGTCGCCGTAGAGCGCGAGCAATCACCTGATGCAAGGCGGCTGCATAGAGTCTATAGAGGCAAATGTCAGGATATGCAACAAGTCCAAGCTGAAACTCGACCGAGGAGCAATCCTGAATCCGTTAAAGTGCCCTACAAAGCAAACCAGACAAGAGGTTTCCACGTCATCAGCCCCAGTCGACCGTCCCGGCCTGTGAACGGATCACTTTGCACATTCCGGGCACCTTCGCAAGTGCAGGGAGCAGTTCGACCACAAGCGATGATTTACTGGGCCTCGCGAACCTGGTGCATCCATTCTGTTTGTTAGCTGCATAGCACTCACAAGGAGGTCTCCAGGCCAAGGTTTAAGGTGTTTAAGATGTACGCTTCATATGACCGCTCTGGTTGCGGTCACCCACAGCGAGTGATCCACGATCAGGGGCCTACGCGGAGCCTCGCAAAGCCAGCGCATGATGGTTCTCTGCTAGCTGGATACGGCTTCGTACAAGATCTCCAGGCAGCAGCTGAAGAACCTAACAATGACTGCGGCGCTTAGCAGAAGCAATCCATGAAGACTATGACCAAAGTTGAAATCGGACAGGATGCGATACCCGAAGAACAAAACCACCGTGGCAGGCGACCACTGGGTCCACCGTCGTTCCGGGTGAAGTGTCAGCAGCTTCATGGCAGTAGCTTGACGAATGCTTCCAAGCTGGGGTCAGCTCCACTGCGCTCGGACCCGAGCAGAAACTCAGAAGAGAACTCTTCTGCCGGCACGTCCCGCTCCGAGTGTCTTCGCGGCTCGACGTTTAGGAGCTCTCACGAGCTCATCCCAATCTGCTTCGGGAGTTGTCCAGCTGCAAGAACTTGCAGGACGCATCGGGAGACACGTGTTACAGCACATTGCCAATCCAACCTGGAACCAGGCTCCCCGTGCTTGGTCAAGGCTGCGTAGGTGCTCGGACGTGTTTCATCACCTTCTTCGTGGTCATCGACAGAGAGATGAGAGCGACGGCTAAGGTTCGCCCATTCCATGTGGTTTGGCAGCTCTCCAGTTCCAAAAGCCGACGAAGGAGCAGAATTCAGGAATTTTCTTAATTCTTAACTCGACCTTCCTCAAGGAGCATGATTCCCACGATCTGAAATCATTCCAACTGGCTCGTTTTTCTTTCCCACGTCCTACTTCCAAAAGCGACAGGTCTAACGTCTCGACAAGAGAAGCGTGTTTTACAACTCACAGAGCTTTGTGCTTCGGTCGACCGCCCCGGCCTACCAAGAAAAGCGATACTCGACTTGGACCGTCCCGAAGACGTCGGTACCTGCCACAACACACACACGGGTGCGCTACGATGACAGCCCAAAGCGGCCACACACATGCTTCCACATGCCGGCAAGCGAATCGACAAGGATTTTCTGATCAATAGCAAGCACAGCAAACCACAAAGCCCCACACCCTGACTTAAGCATCCCTTTCTGTAATGGCCTCCCCGGCGTCTTTGCAAAGACGAACGTGCTCTGACAGTCATGCGGACCGGAGACTTAGGCCACCCCCATGCGGCCGAGATATGGGGTCACCCCGCTCTGCCATGGGGATATCAGGCGAAGGCTCTCAACGACCACTAGCAGCTGCAAGCATTTGCCCGCGCTATGCTTATGTCGCCCTCTGCTCGCAAAGAAGCAGGACGTCGTGGTCGTCGTGGTGCCATCCCAGAGTTCGCAGCGGATACTTCTGCCCCCGACATTGTGTACCTTCTGATGGACTTGGCCAACAGCTTGGCGCAAGAGCCGAACGTCGGGTCGGCCATGGCAAGAGCGGTAGTCGAATTTAGTTCGACTGTGGCGCGGGTACGTGGCATCAAATGGTAGCTGCCAAAACTGGCGAGCATGCAGCTGCCGTTTGTTAGAACACGATACATCAAACCCCATTCTGAACATGTTGGCACGCTGGCTTCGACAAACACAACCGAACAGCAAGCCAAGCAAGGTGCTCTGCTCAATAACACAACCACGTCCCAAGAACGGACGGCCCCCCTTCTTTGTTCGGAACCTGGAAGTCTGGCCCGGACAACAGGATCCAAGGTCGCAGAAATCCAGCCTTTGCCCCAGCACGGCGCATTAGCCCATAAGCCCGGCTGTCATCTATCCCCCTGCCCGGGGCTAGGTTGGCCTCAAAGCAAAACCGAACGCCTCACACCTGGCCAACGGTGTGGAGAGCAACCCGGAAGGGGCAGGGGTCGGCTCCCGAGGTAAGGCAAACATTCGAAGATCGACCGGCGCTCTGCCTCTGTTGATTCAAGTGCACAACAACACAGACATGTCACAAGATTCGATCAAGCTCGACTCAATATCAACCGTCTCCAAAGCCCGCGTGCTTAAAGTGTTAGAGTAAGGCTCGTGCAGCAAAGCAGCGATGGAGGTTCTCGTAGAGCGCGAGAAATCACCTGATGCAAGGGGGCTGCGTAGAGCTACACATCGTGCAGAACCTGCGCCTTTCGGAATCCTTCTTTTTGTGTCACAGCCTCTTCTCATCACACAGCCTATTCTACCGCGCCACCGAACTTTCGCAAGACAGCGTCGATTCGTTAATGTTAGGCGCAAATCTACGCGCGGCACTAAGCGCTCTGCCACTGCGCTTCAATCGAGAACAGCAGTGTGCCGTCTGCGCCCAACGACTCACGACGAAGCGGCATGTGAAGGCGAAACCATCCGGGGTTCTGGGGGGTATTTTCCAACAGGCCCATTTCCTCAGTGGCAGCGACAAGAGAATTGTTAAGGCAAGGACACCCAGGCTTTCGAGGTTGTTATTCCACACGCAAATGTCAATGCAGCACTTTTATTGCAAGACACCATGAGCGTCGTGTACCCCATCGGCGTAAAGGTGATAGCGTGAGCTCTGACGGTGTGAGGATCACCCGAACGTCCAGTGGCAATTTCTCCATCCCACGTCGTCATGTCCGAGTCCAGGCACCGATGAATGGCCTCGACCGACCGTTATACTAGCAACAGCAGACTTTGCATGTGCTAGCACGGGCATGCCACAGCAAGCACAGCCGAGATGCCAAAACGGCGGTAGGACGAAGTCCCCAGCGGTTCTTGAAGGAACCCACGACTGCCTGTCCGGCCAACACCTGATCGGATTGAATGGGCGTCAAACCCACGTAGACTCGCACCTCCGTCACGACGGGAATGGCCATGGCTCCGGAATGCATCTGGGGTAGGACGAAGTCCCCAACGGTTCTTGAAGGAACCCACGACTGCCGGAGGCACCGAGCTTTCGCAAGACAGCGTCGACTGGCAAATATGAACAGGATGGAGCCAAAGCTTCGTCTACAAATCGTCAAGCTGTGGAGACCTCACGTCCCTCTTAGGCCTGACATGTACAGCATCAAGGACGAAAGACTTTAAAGGATTCTAGCGCTGCCATGCTATACCTTGCATATCTACCCAGCCACGCCTGTCCTGCAAGGGTTGTAAGTAGACAATCAAACGTTGTCCTCCGCCGGCGTCGTCCACGCTGGCTCTTTCGCAAGACAGCGTCGAAGCCATGCAGCAACGAGTGAAACTAGGAAAACTACTGAAGGCGGTGCAAACCGCCGGCGTCGTCCACGCTGGCTCTTTCGCAAGACAGCGTCGAAGCCATGCAGCAACGAGCGAAACTAGGGAAACTACTGAAGGCGGTGCAAAGCCAAGAGCACGTAGTCGCGGCGTCTCCACGCTCTTAGAGCTGGTCGAGCCGCTAAAATGCGCCCCACAGCTTCCGCCGCGCTGCACCTTGTGTCCTGCATCAACCATGCGCAAAGGGCCGCAGGGCTGCGATTGATGCCGCCGAAGCAGTGGAAGAGCACGTTGAAGTCCTTGCCCTCCTTTCTGCAGGCTGTGCGTGCACTCGACAGAGCATCAGCCATGCCTTTCCAAGTTTGGGTGCAGTTCTGCGTGCATTCCAAGAACCAGTCCGGATGCTGGCTGTACCTGACCTGGCGGTCGTCCAGCTCGACTTGCAAGTGACGCACACCGCAATCGAGGAAGTGCTTGTTCCAATCTCTCGGAGTTCCTTTCACTTGCATCTCTGTTTTCCAACAAATGCTGACAACAACTGTAACAGGAACTTTCGTTTGCAACTCCACATTGTGGAGGTCCGCTGCCGAGCGCAAGCTGCCGAGCAGACACTTCTCGCCGGGCTCGGAGCTCACCACCACAGCGTCGAGAGGCCACTCCGAGATGTCCCCGAAGTTGTAGGCCTCGCCCCAAACAATGTAGTCCATGTCCGACCAAGGTCCATGCTCGTATTTGTTTGCAATTTCGAGCTGCCAAGTTCGAATAAATGTTTCTTCCGCATCTGACATCGCCGACGAAGCAGAAGAAGCAGAAGACGAAGAAGCGGCCAGGGCATCCATATGTGCAAAGTAGCAAGCAGGCTCGAAGGAACTAGGTCTCTCGGGCCAAAGCTGTCAATACAAGCAAGCAGAGAGAACACTCCGGTCACGACAATTCGCTCCACGCGATCCCCGCAGCGACACAGAGCCCAACCAGCTCATCCTTGCCGTGCTTCCCCAACTCGCCGCGGAGCCAGGCTTCGCCCTGCTCGGCATAACCCGTGCGCAGCTCCTGCAGCCTTTGCTGCGACGCCGCTTCATCGGCCTGACACCAAGAACTGCTTCACTGCAGAGCACTAAACATCCCACCCGACGACGACGCTGACAGATCACTGCAACCGAAGCTGACATGGACAATCCTAAAAAACGCCGCTTCCCCATGAAGCCTGCTCCCCGGCAATGCTCTGTGATAGAGCTTTCGACAACTCCGGCTTGGTAAGCATGCACCCGGCACGGTGTCGTTGCAAACCCGCAGCGACACAGAGCCCAACCAGCTCATCCTTGCCGTGCTTCCCCAACTCGCCGCGGAGCCAGGCTTCGCCCTGCTCGGCATAACCCGCGCGCAGCTCCTGCAGCTTTCGCTGCGACGCAGGTTCATCGGCCTGACAGCAAGAACTACTTCACTTCAAAGCACAATACATCCCACCTGACAACGACACTGACGCCTCACTGCAACCGAAGCTGACATGGACAATCCTCAAGACCGCCGCTTCCCCATCGAGCCTGCTCCCCGGCAATGCTCTCTGATAGAGCTTCCAACAGCTCCGCTCTGGTAAGCGTGTGCCCGGCAGACTTCTGTTGCACACCCGCAGCGACACAGAGCCCACGCAGGTCCTGCCGGTTTTGCTTGTCCAGCTCGGTGCGGAGCCAGTCTTCGCCCTGCTGGGCATAATCGGCGCGGAACTTCTGCAACCGCGAATCCATGGGATGGAAGAAGGCGTCCACGCCGGCCCTTTCGCAAGACAGCGTCGAGGCAAGCAAAACACTGTCCCAAGTATGTTCAAATGCAAAAGTGTCTGCACCGACCCTTTCGCAAGACAGCGTCGAGGCGGGCAAACAACTGTACTAAGTATGGTCAGCTGAGAAGATGAGAATAAGCTGAGAATAATCTCCACACCGGCCCTTTCGCAAGACAGCGTCAAGGCAGGCAAGGAAGCGTACTAGGTGTAGTAAGATGGTAAGATGCTGCAATGTGTGCAAAATACTGCAACGCGTTTTCCCTTTCTTCCCTTTCTTCTGCCTTTCGAGCCAAACGAGGCAGGCAAACGTGCAAGGAGAAAGCCTTTACAGAGCAGCAAGAAACTCCGAGCCTGCAGAAGTCATCGGCCAGGCAGCCTGCGAATCGAACGTGTGCAAGGAGAAAGCCTCTACAAAGCAGGAGGAAGCTCCGAGCCTGCAGGTCATCGACCAGGCAGCCTGCGAGTCAAACGTGTGCAAGGAGAAAGCCTCTACAAAGCAGGAAGAAGCTCCGAGCCTGCAGGTCATCGACCAGGCAGCCTGCGAGTCAAACGTTTGCAAGGAGAAAGCCTCTACAAAGCAGGAAGAAGCTCCGAGCCTGCAGGTCATCGGCCAGGCAGCGGCGCGTTGCGCCGTCGCAAGACAGCGTACGCGCCGTACAGGCGCATGAATATATGTCTATCTATCTATCTATCTATCTATATATCTATTATCTATCTATCTATCTATCCATATATGGATAGATAGAAAGATAGATATATATATATATATATATATATATATGTGCGTATATTATCGATATATGCATCTGCCAATCCCTCTGAAGGGTGGCCAATTGCACCTCGCAGAGATGCAAGTTCCTGCAATCGACCACGCCACTCCCTGTGGAGAGTTGCACGGCGGAAAAGATACAAGTAGTAGTTTGCACACACGTTTCAACCCTGGACCACGCCAATCCATGCAGAGGGTTACATGCAGCGCCCAAAGACCATGCAACAGTACCTGCACACCTTCCGATTAGAACATTCGAGGAAGCTAATCCCTCTCAATGAAGGATTGCGCGGGGCACCGCAAAATAGGTAACTTTACCTTGCGTTCGACCACTCGACCACGCCAATCCCTGTGTGGGGTTGCAAAATTCATTTCAATGCTCATCAAAAATTGCAACTTTACCTCGCGTTCGAACACTCCACCACGCCAATCCCTGTGAAGGGTTGCAAAATTCATTTCAATGCTCATCAAAAATTGCAACTTTACCTCGCGTTCAACCACTCGACCACGCCAATCCCTGTGAGGGGTTGCAAAATTCATCTCAATGCTCATCAAAAATTGCAACTTTACCTCGCGTTCGAACACCGGACCACGCCAATCCTTGTGAAGGGTTGCAAAATTCATTTCAATGCAAATCAAAAAATGCAACTTTACCTCGCGTTCGAACACCCGACCACGCCAATCCTTGTGAAGGGTTGCAAAATTCATTTCAATGCAAATCAAAAAATGCAACTTTACCTCGCGTTCGAACACCCGACCACGCCAATCCCTGTGAAGGGTTGCAAAATGCAAATCCATGTGAAGGGTTGCAAAAAAAATTGAACTGCACCCAAACCCTGTGAAGGGTTGCGCGGCGCCCGCAAGAAGTGTAACTTTACCTCGCGTTTGAACGCCCGAGGAGGCGAATCCCTGTGAAGGGTTGCGCGGCGCCCGCAAGAAGTGTAACTTTACCTCGCATTTGAACGCCCGAGGAGGCGAATCCCTGTGAAGGGTTGCGCCGGGCGCCTAAAATGTGTAACTTTACCTCGCGTTTGAACGCCCGAGAGTTCCAATCCCTGTGAAGGGTTGCGCGGTGCGCCTAAAATGTGTCACTTTACCTAGCGTTTGAACGCCCGAGAGTTCCAATCCCTGTGAAGGGTTGCGCGGTGCGCCTAAAATGTGTCACTTTACCTAGCGTTTGAACGCCCGAGGCAGCGAATCCCTGGGAAGGGTTGCGCGGTGCGCCTAAAATGTGTCACTTTACCTAGCGTTTGAACGCCCGAGAGTTCCAATCCCTGTGAAGGGTTGCGCGGGCACCGCAAAATGTGTAACTTTACCTCGCGTTTGAACGCCCGAGGAGGCGAATCCCTGTGAAGGGTTGCATTCCCGATGGACCCCGACGGTGCCACCCCCGCCTTTAAAAGAAATATTAAGATACCGAGATGTAGAGAGTAAGTCATAAGTCATAGTAAGTCAATAAGTCATAGTAAGTCATAGATGCATAGAGAGTCAGTCATAAGTAAGTAATCATAAGTAAGTAAGTAGATAAGTAAGTAAGTAGAGTCAGTAAGTAAGTCAGTAAGTAGTAAGTAAAGTCAGTAAGTAGTAAGTATAGTAAGTATAGTATAGTAAGTATAGTAAGTATAAGTAAGCAAGTCAAGTAAGTAAGTAAGTAAGTATAGAGATAGCATAACATAGAGTCCAGTGTCAAGTGTCAAGTGTCAAGTAAGTTAGTAAGTAGATTGAAGTAAGTAAGTAAGTAAGTCGTAAGCATAACATAGAGTCAAGTATCAAGTGTAGAGTCAAGTATCATAGAGTCAAGTGTCAAGTGTAGAGAGTCAGTCATAGAGGTCAAGTAAGTAAGTAAGTATCAAGTGTAGAGTCAAGTATCAAGTGTAGAGTGTAGAGTAAAGTATGGAATCAAGTAAGTTGATTCTATGTCTGTCATCTATGTACTCAGCTGCGGCGTTCCACACGGAAGAACCCTTCGCGATGCTTTCGGGAATTCTGAAAACCACCCGTATATGTGGCTCGCAGAGCCGAGGTGTTGGCTTCGGAAGCTGGGGCTTAGGGTTTATAAGGGCTTAGGGTTTTGGTTTCAGGGTTTAGGATTTATCATTGCCCCTTTGCACCGAACCAGAACCACAAGGTTTAGATCCACAGGGCTTTTTCGACAGAGTTGGCTTTTAAAGACGTTTACAGACTTTTAAAAACTTTCAAATGCAAGAAAAAACATTCTAAAAACTTTTAGAAGACTTTAAAAGACTTTTAGAAAATTTTAGAAGACTTTTGCAAACTTTAAAAGACTTTTCAAAACTTTAAAAGGCTTTTAAAATATTTAAAAGACTTTTAAAAACATTAAAATACATTTAAAAGCTTTAAAAATACTTTAAAAGACTTTTAAACGCTTTTAAAAGCTTTTACAAACTTTAAAAAGAATTTGAAAGACTTTTAAAGACTTTAAACAACTTTTTAAAATTTTTAAAAACTTTAAAACACACACAAAAAAAAACTACATTTTTTAATGTTTTTTCCGAGAAGACGAGGATGAAGAAGACCTGGCACAGGGTTTACAGTTTCAGGGTCTTTAGGGTTTGGGGTTAAGAAGGCAGAGTGCCATAGTATTAGGGGTTTGAGGGTAATGAAAGGGTTAGGGTTAGAGTTTCAGGGTCTTTATTATATTTAGGGTTGGGGGTTAGAAGGCAGAGTGCCATAGTATTAGGGGTTTGAGGGTAATGAAAGGGTTAGGGTTAGAGTTTCAGGGTCTTTATTATATTTAGGGTTTGGGGTTAGAAGGCAGAGTGCCATAGTATTAGGGGTTTGAGGGTAATGAAAGGGTTAGGGTTAGAGTTTCAGGGTCTTAATTATATTTAGGGTTTGGGGTTAGAAGGCAGAGTGCCATAGTATTAGGGGTTTGAGGGTAATGAAAGGGTTAGGGTTAGAGTTTCAGGGTCTTTATTATATTTAGGGTTTGGGGTTAGAAGGCAGAGTGCAATAGTATTAGGGGTTTGAGGGTAATGAAAGGGTTAGGGTTAGAGTTTCAGGGTCTTTATTATATTTAGGGTTTGGGGTTAGAAGGCAGAGTGCCATAGTATTAGGGGTTTGAGGGTAATGAAAGGGTTAGGGTTAGAGTTTCAGGGTCTTTAGTATATTTAGGGTTTGGGGTTAGAAGGCAGAGTGCCATAGTATTAGGGGTTTGAGGGTAATGAAAGGGTTAGGGTTAGAGTTTCAGGGTCTTTAGTATATTTAGGGTTTGGGGTTAGAAGGCAGAGTGCCATAGTGTTAGGGTTTGAGGGTAATGAAAGGGTTAGGGTTAGAGTTTCAGGGTCTTTAGTATTTAGGGTTTGGGGCTAGAAGGCAGAGTGCCATAGTTTTAGGGTTTGATAGTATTAGGGATGCACAAATCGCGTGAAGTGGCTACGAACTGCTGGATGTTGCGCTTTTCTGCGTTGACCACACTGTCAAGCGAATCACGTGCAGGCGAAGCAGGGTACAGCTGGGTGACGCGACAACGTCTGGCACTCTGCCTTCCCAGCTGCTGGCACTCTGCCTTCCCGCCTCAAGATCCATTAATTATTGCCACCCCAACTTTGCACTCAGCTGGTCGGTCAAAGGTATTGCTCCAGCATCAAGGTCAGGAAGTTCCCCCGGACCACCGAGACGGATGGCAACAAGTGAGAGGTGTTTCATCTGAAGGACAAACTGCCGTTGTTGTTCATCTTCGTCGTTCCAAACATAAACAAAATCACAAACGAGAGAAACGCGCGGCAACTCCAGCGGTTCTTCTCCTTCACCCACCTGATAACACTTCGGGAAGGGGCCTTGGTACCGTCGAAGAAGCCTGAGGCCTCCTGTAATGCGGGAGCCAATACGTGGCCAGTAACGCAGGTAGCGAACCATGATTTCCCAAGGCACGTCGTCATAAACTTCATTCCATCTCTCAGCTGGTTTCCACTGGTCAGGCGCTTTGGCCAATTTTTCGCAAGCGGTTTTGATCAAGATTGGGGAGAGCTCGCCTCTGAAGAAACACTCTCCTCGTTCGATCGGGGCGAAATGCATTGCTCTGGACGGCTACTGTTCAGTCACAAGCACGCACGGCTTCAAACCACATGTGCTAGTTTGTGCGGCTTCCGGGTTGTGGCACTCGAAATGATTGTCCATGTGCTTGCACGTGACAAATTCCACATGTGTGAAAATGCGAACATGCTTTCGCAATC